CAAAAAAAAAAAAAAAGAATTAAAAAATAAAATTTAGTTATCCAAGAAAAAACGACGTTCTCGCTTCCAGAGGTGGGGCCACGTGCCCAAATCCCGACCGCCGAAACGCGCGGGAACACAGGCACTGGACGACCAAAGATTGTCGTCCCCAATCGGCAGCGAGAAAACCTCTATTAAAAGGAGAAAAAAAACACTGTTTTAGCCTTCTCGCATTCAAGCTTCAGTAAATCACTCTCTGCAGAAAAAGAAAAACCAGTAAATCAATCCACATTCGTTTGAACCCTCAACCTCGAGATGGCGCCCAAAAGAAAACTCGGAAGCGACGCCGGCGAGCCCTCCAACCTCACCAGAATCACCCGCAGCGCCGCCCGCACTGTCTCCAGGTCCACCCGCAGCGGCGCCGTTCTCGGCGACGCCCCCACCGTGAACGCCGCCTTCTCCGACCCGGAGCCCCGCAGGACAAAGAAACCCAAGACCGCCGCCGACGGCCCATCCTCCGGCGCAAAGACGTTGATCATTGAGCACTGCGTGGCGAGCGGCTTGTTCAAGAACAAGGCGGCCCAGGTCAAGAAAGCTCTGGAGAAAGCGGTTTCTGGGGTCAACATCGTGATCAACCCTGAGAAGCCTAGGAATGGCTGCTTCGAGATTCGCGAAGAAGGTGGTGATATTTTCGTCAGTTTGCTTGATTTGGAGAGCCCCTTTGAGCAGGTGAAGGCGTTGAATGTGAGCAAGGTCGTGTCTGACATTGCTGACAGGATCAAGTAAATTGATGGGTTTCTGGGTTTTGGGGAGTTTTAAGGGATTTTGCTTTTCTTGTCTTTTTTGCTCTAGTTTTTTGTTCTCTTGTTCTGGTTGTGTAGGACTTGTTGATTTGGTTCTGGGTTTTCAATCTGGGGTTAGTCTGTTTTAGCTTTCCTGGTCTATTGTCTAAAATCTTGGTGCAGGGGTTTCGTTTTCTGAGTAGTCTTTTACTGTTGAAACTTGATTTGTCTTGTTTTTTGTTCTCTTGATCTGGTTGTGGATGACTTGATGATTTGGTTCAGGGTTTTCAATCCTGGGTTAGTCTGTTTTAGTTTTAGTGGTCCTCTGCTGTCGAAAATCATGGTTCAGGGGTTTCGTTTTCCGAGTAGTCTTTTAGTGGTTTTCTACCTTATGTCTTATTTTGGGGGTTTCATTCTCTGGGTAGTCTTTTGTTCGTTTTCTTTATGTTCTTGGCTCTGGGAAGCATATGGTTTGACAGTTTTCATTCGATTTTTGGAGCTCCGGTTTTGTGGTAAATGGAGGTCGTTTAGACCAATCTCCAACCCAAAATCTCATACTCAAAAGCCCTTTTGCAGTAACTCTCACATTTTGCAGTAATTCATCTGCAACCGAAAAACCAACTTTTACAATTTTCAATACTACCCACATATTTTACAACTTTACAAATTAAACCACACTATTATTTTAAATTCAATTTGGACTTTATGTAATAAAATTTATTATAAAGTTATAATCGTATATAGTACATAATAATATTGAAAAAATTAATATTCATTACAATTTTAAATTTAAAAATTACAACACACAAGATAAAATAAAAAATTAGAACGCACAAGATGAAAAATTAAAAATTACATCACACAAGATAAAATTAAAAACTATAATGCACAAATAATATGTTTATTTTATATTATTATTGTGAATTATATAAAATTAAATGATTAATATAATAGTATTATTTAAATTTTAATTATATTTTAAAAAAGGTTATATTATTTGAATTTATTATCAATAATTTCTTAATCTCTTCACAAATTTATTCAAACTTCTTTAGAAATCTCCTAGAAATATTTTACAAATACTTTTATAATTTTTTATTCAAATGAATATACTAGAAATATTTTACAAACTACCATAATTTTTTGATTACACCTATTATAGAATGTTCACACCCTATATTCACACCCTATATATATAAATGTCTAATTCTATTTGTTTATATTTCATATCTGTTTACTATTATTTTAATTGTGCCAAGTAATATGAAAACGTATAAATATAAATTAGAGAAACAAATATATTTCCTAAACTAGATTTTTATTATACATTAATATAAAAAATAACAATTTACATACTCAACAAAAAAAATTATTCCACAAAAGTCAATTTGCGTTTATGAACAGTAGAGCGGATAAGGCTTTTGCATTTTGGTTGCGTTTATGTTTGCAGTGTTACTATTGGTTGAAATCTTCTTTTGCTTCTCGGATTTTGGTATTTGTTTTGGCTTAGGTAAATAACCGTTTGGGAGGTATCGAACATGACCTATAAAATGCAATATGCAACGTTTGAAGCTGTTTAAATTATGTGATTCTTATAACTCAAGTTTTCTTCTCCATATTGAAAACATTTAGGAAATAAAAAAAACTTGCTCTAGATTATGTTCCAGTTCTTCATATGATTTGCCCACAAGCTAGCATGCAGAATATGCAGATAGTATAATGTGTGTGATATTGAGGTCAAATCAATTGATAAGATTGTAATTATGCCAAACAATTAATCCTTAATTTGCCTCTAATATTATTAAATTATAATGAGAGTGTGTATAAACTAATTCACTTCATACTCAAAATTAACTCAACTTTAATACAATCTCAGTATTCTCAATATTATCAATATAATTAAATAATATTAATTAATTATTTTTACATATCATATCAACTTTAATTTACTATTCATCCAGTCACATAATTTTAACTAATTATCACTTCACATCATCTTTTTTACTTTTACATAAATTAATTTTAATTATTTTATTTTAAATATTATTTTAATATAAACTTAAAATTTCACTAACAACTAATTATACTATATTTTTTAAAAATAATCATGATTAACTAAAAAAATTGTTTTGAATGAATATATTTGTATCCAAACACCCCGTAATTATACTATATTTTTTAAAAATAATCATGAATAACTAAAAAAATTGTTTTGAATGAATATATTTGTATCCAAACACCCCGTTGAAAGGTTGATGAATTTGCTTTCTTGTTCACATCACTATGCAAAAATGGAATTATATGTTGATGCTAGTTTGAATCCGATACATGTCATTTATAATAATAGAACGCAACATTAAGTGGATTATAAGAATAAAACATGGAATTTCATTACCATAAAATGTTGGGTGTGTAATCAAATTGTTCATTATCCCCCTTTTCTGGAATATTTAAAAAATAGTTATATGTATAACCCAATAAAAAATGCTAATTATCTAAATAATAAGCTAAAAGAAATACATTTGTTGAACTTACACAAGATTCGGGCAATTGTCTAGAGTATATATTGCAATAGATTTTGCATAATAAGAAATATAAAACAATTTTCTCTCATATAATTACTTAATTAAAAAGAGTATTTCAATGTTCCTTTATCAAATTTGTAGATTTTGTTACTCATGAAATTCACTCAAAACTTTTGATGAAACTGTAATTTGATTAATTAAATTTCCATTTATAAAAGTCGTGAAATTGCAGACCGCGAAATCCAAAAAAGAAATAAAAAAAATTGCAATTTTAAAATGTTACAAAACAAGAGGTCAAATACCAGTGTGTACTTTACATTTATGTGGTATAATTTTCCTATAAAATCTATATTTTATTAAGAAATACCTTTTGTCTTGTGATTCTTTTATGATTTGTCGTTTTCAAATAAATTAAAATACCAGTGTAATTACTAATTAGCACATATTAACTTTTGAAATTTTCGAATGCTTTATTCCATGCCTCGTTATCTGATAATTCATAATAAGATTACATTACATTTTAATCCAGAAAATTACCTTTTCATTTTATATAATATTATACTATTAGGGTATCATATTTTCTTATATTGTTGAGATTTATTTTTGGCATATTTTTTTCAAATTTGACCAATGCAAATGCAATAGACCAAAATTTTACATAGATTGTAAAATTAAATGAGCGGTGCGTTGGCTAGACTCGGTTCATTAATATTGATAATGAGTCTAGATCAAGTTTGTTTATCAATTTATTTAATTAACAATTTGACTTGATAAATATTTAGATTCAAACTCGAGAATAAGGAGTTGGAACTCGACCATGCTTTAATGGAAATGGAACAAGCTGAAATAGAAAAAGAATATTAAAAACTCTGGATTTTTGGATGACAAAAAAAGCAAAAAAATCGAAAAAAATGCAGAAAATCTAGGCTTGAACCGAAACTATAGATATTTGTAATAATACTGTAAATTATCTGTATCGGAGCACGAAAATCTCTCCGCTTTTACTTTGCCTTTCCCCTTNTACTGTTTGCCTTTTGCATTTCATCCCCACCATAAATTTGACAACCCCACTTGCAGAAAAAAATGAAGAAATAAAAAAAAAGGCTGAAGTTTATTTGTGTGTGAAATTCCTAGCGCTCGGCACCAACACGTGTTGTCAAGAACACTGCTTTCCGTTTTACTGTAGATGACCCACCGCCTCTTATTTAACCCCACATTTCGTTTCGTCTCTCATTTTTCATTTTGCTACAAGAAGCTAAATCCCTAACCTAAGTCTGAACAAAATGAATGGGTTTTTAGTACTTATTTGATAGTTTGAAAAAGGTTCCGACTTTGTAAGAATTTCAGAGGAAAAATGGTTGTCGGGAAGTCGCCGGAGTGGCTCCCGTCCGGTTTTACCGAGAAGGTGAAGTACAGAAATGGGAGAAGGATCAAGGTAATAATTTCTGTCTTTTTCCCTTTTTTTCTTCTTGTGGGGTTGTTTAAAGATTGTTTCTTTTGATTTAGAAGAAAAGTTGGGTGAAAATTGGATTTTGTGTTCTGTGAGTAGGGAATTAGATCTTAGGTGCTTACCTTTCAACTGAATGGAGTTGTGAATTTGGCCCTTTTCCATTGAATTATCCAAGTATGTTCTGTGTTTGAGTAGCTTGTTATGTGGCTGCATGTTGAAAAGGGATAACAAGATTGGTTTTGATTTCACACTGTAGCTGTTGTTTTATGTGTTGGTTCAGTTGCTGTGCTGTTTAAGTGTTTATGTTAAGTTGTAGTGGAAGTTTCTTATTTCTTCAGTTGTTTGCCTAGCTAGTTGTTGTTCTTTCATTCTCCGGCCTTATAAAAACGTCCAGTCATGGTAAGAGCCCTGCCGGCATTTGAGCCTTTAAGGAAGTGAAAGTGTTAGGGTTTTCTTTTCTGAGGTAGCTGAGGAATTGTGCATTATGTTTCCCAAAAAGGGAAATCATGCTACGTACTTTAACTAATTACAAATCGACGTTACATTTAATACGACTGACATGTTTAATCATTCTGGTTGATCCATAACTCGATCGTTCATTTTTCTTGGGTTTGAGTATATTACACGTGTCCGTGGTTAATAAGCTATTGTTCTAAATTATATTCTATAAAGGAACGAGAGCTAGACACGGCAGCTCCCGATCCGTAAATAGTAAGGACATTTTTTTTTTAAATATTGAAAGATTCTTCACATGAAAAACCAAACGTATATTCGTCACTCTAGAAATGCTCTGGACTTAATGCTACTCGTAGCTATTTGATTATTTAGCTTTATGTTTTGGTTAAGCAGGTGAAATATGTGAAAATGCAAACCTAATTAAAAATGATAGGATAAAAACTAAAAAAAAATAATCAGAGGGAAATTTCAAACTATCTCTTTTGTATCTCTACATGTTAAAATGTCAAAATGAGCGTTTTCTTTGTCAAATATAATAGATAGAATATCAAGTTAACACACGTGCATATTGCTTGATCTGATTTGCAGTATTACTACAATGATGCAATGGGTACAAAATATTATTCCAAGAAAGATGTCTTAAGTTGTGCTAAAGCAGGAAATGGTCTCATTGGTACACTTCAAAGTCAAACATCAAATGACAACGACAAGGGAATTTTCTCAAGTGGCAAAGTTGAAGCTGTGAGTTTCGAGATTAAATGGTCTTACACACTTTGCTGCATGTTCTTTTTTCATTTACACTTGTTTGTATTATTCTGTTTCACAGGAATTGGACACAACAGATGATTCACCGAAATGGTTGCCTAATGGGTGGACAGTTGAGAAGAAAACACGAGAAAGGGGTTCAACAAAAGGATCAATGTACAAGGTTGGTAATGTATAAAGCAAGTAACGTTCATGTTCATTTTATATCCAGTTGTATCGTTACTCATTTCAAGTTTTCTTTTTTTATAGACAATTCAATGATATTGTGCTATGTGGAAATTTGGAATTCATAGATCCTATGAAATCACTAATACTTAAACCCATATTATTTAATATATAATGTTTTGGCAATTATTTTTGGATATGATTTCTTATCGAGTTTGTGTGCTTTTTCCATATTCTTGCAGGTATATACTGACGTGTCAACTGGAAGCAGATTTTATTCGAGGGCAGCTGTCACTCGATACTTGAATTCTCTAGATCATGCTGTGCCCAAGACCATACAAAATAAAGTGTGCATTACCAATCAATTTTTATTCACGCCTCATTTTTTTATAAAATTTGCCTTAGCATTCATTCTCAAAATCTATTTTGGTGTACTTTTTCAGTGTGACAGTGTGGATGTAACATCCTCAAGCAAGTCTCAACCGTGCACGTCCATGACAAATACAGACGACATTCCTGAAGAGAAAAAGGAGAGCATCACGATGGTTTGTTTAACTGTATTTGCTGAGCTCAAAACTCGAATTGTTTTTGAGAAATCATGTATTTGCTTTTCTTTATTGAATGTTCAACTGTATTTGTTTCAGACTAATAAGGTGGACGAATCACTTACAAATACAGATGACATTCAAGAAAAAGAAGATGACAATTCTTCTAAGACAGTACGTGCTTTGATGCGCTCAAAACTCCATTATGCATTCTTGGAAATTTTCATGTTTTTTTACATTTTTTATTTTTTATTTTTTTCAGCTTGACATAGTGGATAAACCATCTGCCCTAGTGTCTCAACTAATGACAAGTCCCAGTCACACTCTTGGAAAGAAAAAGAAATGCAGCTCATTCATACCGGTTTGTCCTTTTTTACAAACACAAAACTAATTCTAAATATGGTAAAATAAATCTTTACTCGATTTGGCTTCGGTTGCTTTGAAAATTATTTTTAGGTTGCCACTGAGAGGATTGCAGCTGATGACCTGCCTCCAGGCTGGATAAAAGAAATCGTAACAAGTAAATCTGGGAGTAAAATTAGAAAGGATCCGGTAATTAGTCCATTTACCTTTTGACGGTAATAAAAAAAACAAAAAGCAAAAAAAAAANGCGTTTGGATAATTCGTGATGATTGTGCATTGTTGTTTCTACTTAGTATGGGCAAGGTTCTTGTGGAATATATAACTTATCTTGAAAGCTTTGTTAAATTTCTGCAGTACTATATCGACCCAGTAAATGGCTACGCGTTTCGTTCGAAACCAGATGCCCTGCGGTACGTTAGCACCAATGATATTCGTAATTGTGCTATCAAACCCAAAAAAAGGGAGTCGAGTGAGCTGAATCTGATAAAGAATGGAGTCCAGGTGAGTAAGCAGCTTTAATTAACCTCACTCAGCTACATATAATTTGTTTTAGCTTATTATCACTCTGTTTTCTTTGCATTCGGTTGAGTAAATTGTGCATGTGCTCATTACCTGGATTCATATTATTGTAAAGTAGTCAAAGCTTCTTATTAAACTTCCTGTAAGTACAAAAATGTTCGAATGCTCGTTTTTCGCTATTATCTCTCAAGTAAAAAACGTCTGAAATGCGTATATTTTGTTTATAGTCTTCAATTCCAGCTCACGATAAATTATCGGAGCAAACGCGACAGCCTCTTGTCTGTGGAGAATCAAATCGATGTAAGAGTGTACAAATTAGTCCACTTATATTTTACAGTAAACTATTTTTTTTTTTTTTTTTCGTGGCGGCTATTGAACTAGGTATCTGTTTGACATTTTTTCCGGCAGATGGAGAAAGCTCTGATATAAAACCTCCACTAAATTCCGAAACCAAATTATCAAAACAAACGATCATCAACAACGATGACTCTGCTGGTGAAGCCAATTGCCTCGAACCAGAAAATAAAGCCCCTGAAAACGAACCCGAGCAGCAGCCTCCCAAATCCGAGACGAAGCAAAAAACCGAGAAAAAACCTCCTTCGAACTCGAAAAACCCCAAGAAAAGAAAAGATCCAATCTTTCCTTCACGGGCCTCGAAGAGACTCTCCGGCACTGTACTACCCGAGACACCACTCAATTCAGTCTTGAACGAACGATCTCTTAAGGCTGCAGCTAAAAGAAGACCTTCAACCACTGAAGAAGCTAATATATCCCCAAAATCTCCGGCTAAAGTAGTAGTAGTCCCTCCACCTCCGGAAAACGAGCTTTCCGGCAAGAAAACTCCAGAAGAAACTCAACCACCAAATTTTGGTACGGAAAATCCTGCAAACAATGCCTCGATTGGCCCAGAAGAGCAAACGGGTAACAACAACACGCTAGAATCACAGCTCTGTTTCGATTTTGGCGATTCTTGGTCTGACCCGTTGGAATTCGCGCTCAAGACTCTGAAGGGCGAAATCTCGATCGACGATACTCTGGCTGCATTCCCTGGCTGTTTCAACGAGAATCTCAACGTGCCTTGTAACAACAATAATTATAACAATAACAATCAGTTGGATGGAATCTTGGGACCACAACAGTCCCATCAGCTCGACTTGCCCGATATTTTCGGAAATGACGAAAATGCCCCGGGGTGCGGATCTTCTGGGAAGGAAAGTGGGCCCGACCCGTTGCAGGGGAATTCGTCTGACTTGGGAAATGTCGACTTGCCGCTGGGTTTTAGCTGGAACAAGGATGGCCATGATAGAAAGTTTAATAACCCTTAAGACAAGCGAAAAAATTACATGCACATGACAACTGTAGTTTTTAAGAGGGAGTGTTTTGGTTTCTTGTTGACTTAGACATTTTGTATGGCTCCCCTTTTGTTTTTTTTTTTCCTACTTAGACTATTGATAATGGAGGAGCATTAGATTAAGGTTTAGGATGTTTGCTTCTCTGGAATATACTATGTTTGAAAAGCTGTGAAATCCATCTTTGGTGTAAAAACTAAAGACAATGTTGTGTTATTTGCAGATGGTGTGGGGAGCTTTTTTGCATGGTTTCATCTCATATGGACAACAAACCTTCTTTTTGTTTAAATGTATCCACCCTTTGATTTTAGCGAAGCATATTTTATGGAATTTTATTTGGAGAGCAAGTTATTAGTTCCTTATTAATCAAATTCATTTTTTAACTCAATCTCTATTGATTGCATAGTATCATTGATAATTCAATTTCTGACTTTAGCATAAGAGTGTCTAGTTTGAAGGTTGATTTGGTTAGTAATTCAAGCGTCGAGACAAGTCAGGGTGGTTGTGACTGTTGGCATTGTTTTGCAGGATGTTTCAGTTAGTGATTAGAAATTTGTATATGTTGGCATTATTTTGCTGGTTGATTTGGTTTGTGAGTAGAAATTCGAAACGGTTCAATTCGAAATTCTAGGGAGCGGTTTGTGAATAGAAATTCGAACGTGTTGGCATTATTTTGCTCGTTGATTTGGTTTGTGAGTAGAAATTCGAAACAATTCAATTTGAAATTCTAGGGAGCGGTTTGTGGTTAGAAATTCGAATGTGTTGACATTATTTTGCTGGTTGATTTGGTTTCTGAGTAGAAATTCGAAACGGTTCAATTCAAAATTCTAGGGAGCGGTTTGTAATTAGAAATTCGAATGTGTTGGCATTATTTCGCTGGTTGATTTGATTTGTGAGTAGAAATTCGAAACGATTCAATTCGAAATTTTAGGGAGCCAATTATCCGTACATAGTTACCTCGATTTGGTCTTCATCCGCTAGTTTGCTTATCTATCATTATATAAAAAGAATAACCATTTTTTAAAAATGGTAAGTCAAATTCTTAGTCAACATGTTTTGCATTAATTACTTACCATTAATGGTAATAAATATTTTTTTAAAGCTTCCCTGTGCAATTAATGCTTTTCAAGATTTTTGGGATGGTGTTATTTTGTAATTGACCAATGCACTGCTTTTGCGTTAGAAAATCTTATCCCATTAAAAAATCTTATCCAATTAAATCTCCTTAATATAACACTTATTTTATATTAAAAAATAATAATACCACGAATTTTGATTTTCAATCCTTCCCAAATTAAAGAATCTTATAAATTAAATGTCAGCATTTAAAAAGATCGGCCTCTCCAAAACTCTATCCGATTTTATTTAAAGTCACGAATACCTTGCTCAATCAATTCTCCAAAATATAAGTCCAAGTTATTGTCTAATAAATTTTTTTAGGTATCTACTATATAAAAAAGCAATTCTCCAAAATATAAGTCCTCTAATAAGAATTTTTTATACTATATAACAAAATTAGCGCATGTTGTATTGTCTAAGTATTTTTTTATGGTATTTGTAATTACTAATATTTTTGCTTAAAATTATTAATGTTGTTAGACCAACGGTTTTTTAGACTATAATATATAACAGTGGATATAACTCTAAATATATTTTTATATATAATATTATATATAATTTAAATATGTTGTTTGAGTAATTTTTTTTACACATTCGTTAAAGTGTATATATATAGAGAGAGAAATGTTAACTTTAAGTGATTTTAGATACTTTTTTTATAAAATAGTTTAGAAAAAAATGAGATAATTTCATATTTTTCAAGAATAATATATAATATTTTAGATACTTTTACACGCTTTATATAATAGTTTAGGTATTCTTAATGTTTTAAAAATATTTAGACAAATTTTTACATATTCTCTAGATTAAGAAATTGTTTTCCTTACAAAATAGTTTAAAAAATTTTTAGGTGACTTCACACATATTTCAAAAATAATGTAAAATATTTTGAATACTTTTTAGATATGTGATATATAATTTTGTATTACAAGAGAATAAGAGTTATAAAGCATGGTAATTTTAGATATAAAATTCTATTTTATTTGTTATAACTTACATGGAAGTTATGTTTAATTATCAATATCATCTCAATGCCTTGCTTTGCTTTTTTTTACTTCGTTTCGCGAGACAATATCTCTTATTAGACTCATAATATTTTATATAATTTTAAACATATTGTTTAGACAATTTTGTACACATTATACATGTCCACATACACATATACATATACATATGTTAAATATAAATAGTTTTAGGCATGTTTTTTTTTACAAAATAGTTTAAAAAATTTTTAGATGACTCCACATCTTTCAATAATGATATTTAAAATTTTAGATACTTTTACATATGTTATATAATATTTTAGACGTTCTTAATACTTTAAACAATCATTTTTTTCAAATTCTTTTATACAAGATAATTATATATTGTTTACAACTCATATACGATAAATTATATTACGTATGAAGTTCACATCTTTAATTTATAATTATTAGTTAATATTATTTAACTTCATCTTTAATATATAATCATTAACTAATATTGTTTATCCGTGCATCGCACGGGATACGCACTAGTGTGGTTTAAATAGAGAAAGAATAATTATTAGTATTATTAATATCAATGAGGGGTAAAAAGGGAAAATAAATGTTGAGGTCGTTGGCGGAATTGGTAAATTCTGGCAGACAGACGGACGCCTTTGGTGATGTCACGTGTTTTGATTCACATTTAAATATTTAATTTCTATTTTTTCCCACTTTGTTGGCAAAAAAATACATGTGGCATTTCTCCTTGTACAATGCCTGGAATTGGAATGTGCGTTGAAAAACGTAAATAATTTGAAATATATGAATAAAATTTTATAAAATATAAATTGTTAGAGAATTTGTTGGCATAATTTGAATAATTTTTAAAATTGTAATTAATTTTGGTTTTTTATTGAATCTATACTTATATAATAAGAATTAACATTTATCGAAAATAGTAGGTCAAATTATGGTCAATGTCGGATTTGCATTAAATATTTTCCAAAACTGGTAAGTTTTTGTCCTTTTCACACTTCTGTCCTTTTCACACTTCTCATTAATTATGTCATTTTCACACATTTAATTAATTCATTAATTACGACATAATTATCATAAATCATTCCATTTTAGCTTTTATCGTTAAAATGTATAGCGATCTGTTATGACCTTATCCCATTGATATTTCCATGAAGCGTCCTTATCGCCTTCTATTTTTTGGTAACCACTCTATATCAATAACCAGATATTTGGTTAATGATAGCACACGTCTTTATTTCAAGGAGCGGATATTCTTTGACCTTTAATTAATCTGAACTGATTGCCTTGACTTTTCAATTTTTAAAAACACTTTTTTTAAATATTTCGCCTTAAGATTCGGATTTCATTATACAAGTCATCGGATTGTTTGAATGAAAATGAATGAAAAGAACACCAAAAACAGGTAGCCTTATTCATATAATCAATCCTAAAATATTAGTTTGTTCACAAAAAAGAGACAAATCCTAGAAATCCTAAAATATTAGTTTGTTCACCAATCCTAAAATATTAGTTTGTTCACCACAAATATTAGTTTGATTTTTAGGATTTGTCTCTTTTGAAAATATTAGTTTGTGATAATGAGGAGTTACCAAATAATCAAACTCATAATGTTGTGTACAAGGAGGTTTTTAATAATATATGATTGTTACCGAACTTTTATGATTCAACAATGTTCCTATGTATTTTAATGATTTCAATTTCGATCCTAATACACGTGTGGTTATATTATTCTTCCAAATTTTACATCCCGTGCATCGCACGGGTTACGTACTAGTAAGTTAAGAAATAGAATATAAGTTTTGTAACTTTTCACTCTATCACATGTTTATAGTCACAACTTAAATTTCAAATGAATTATATCATCAATCATCTAATAAGCCTATATTTAGTTAACATCAGTTTTAGTCTAATTAAATTTTCAAAATGGCTTTTTAACCACACTATTATATCCCAAGATAAGGGTGCTGTGAATTTTTGAGCTTCTCTTCCATTTTTATTATTTTTTCGGAAGTGATTAATTTTTAACAAACTCTTGTTGAATTTGGTCGAGTACCAAATACCAATCGAGAAATGGAAAAGAGCCTGATGTGACTGATAGTTTTAAAGTAAAAACTTACATAAATATTGTAGTTTTTAACATATGTCCCGATGAAAGTGAAAATTACATAATTATTGCAATAAGTGTTTCAAATATTGGAACACTATCAAAATACAATTATGGCTATCTATCATAACTATTTGAACAAAAATGTATACTTATACTATTATATTTGAACAAAAATGTATACTTATACTATCAAATGTCATATTTTTAATATATTTTCTAATAAAAGTATGGACATTTATAAAATTTATAAATAAGTATATCATGCTAATGATAAGGACCAAACCACATTTTGTTTTCCATGTCAAGTGCAGTATATGCCAATAGTAGCAATATTGTCCAACACCATCTTTATTATCTTATCTCACTCTTCAAACAAAGAAGTGAACATTATAACCATCAAGAACACACATCAATACGGCGTGATGGACCAAAATGTGTTCGTTACAGCTTTTCACAACATTATTCATAGCAAAATCAAACATACCTTACCCAAATTTATTTATATATTCAATTTCAAACCACACATATATAATCGACAAAAACCTCGCAACAAAATCCAGTCACGGGCAGAACACGACCCGATAGTTCGTTCCTCCCGGGCACGTGAACAGGCTCGTCGGGTCGTCCTGCGGGTAGCTATACGCAATCGGGCACCTCTCCTTAAAGAACCTCGACAGCGGTGTGGGCCCACAGCTCCCGGGCCCGTTATTGCAACAGTACTCGTTCCTATTCGGGTACACGGTGCACGGGTTATTGCAGCCGCCCGGCGCCCGGAGCTCGTTGGGGCACTGCTCGTTGATCGGGCCCGTGCACCTCAGGTTCCGGCACACGTTCGTAGTCGGGCTGAACTCCATCGGGACGTTGAACCCGTCGACTAGTGAGATGTCGACATAGTCGAGGTTGTTCGGCTGGTTGAGCGCGAACTCGGCCAGAGTGTTCGGGGCCTGACCGTAGCCCCGGCACTCGAGGAGCCCGTTGCAGTCGCCCGTCTGGCACCGGCCGCGGCCCGACCCGTCGAAATTGCAGTTGGTCCGGGCCCAGATTCGGGCCTGAACGGTGCCCGGGGCCACGTTTATCTGCCAGGACTGGCCGCGGTCGAGCCTGCGGCCGCCGCCAGGTGAGGC